CCCGGATAGCGAAAGGTGCGGGTTCGAGTCCAGTGCTGCCTGGTCCGCGGTGATGTTTTTCTAGTGAAATTATCTTTAGAGTTAAGAGCCCTTTCACATTTTTTGCAAAAAAATCGTAATTTTCGAGCGCCTCGTTTACCCCCTTAGAAAAGATTTTGACTATTTACAATAGAAGTAAACAGTAGATTTATTCTTCCTATTGTAAGTTAATGTAGAATATTTACAAATACTATTTTCCTTTTTTGTACTGATCGTTCTACCGCAGCTTATTTACGGAAAAACGACAATATGCACAACTTCAAACGCCTGAATCTCTAAATAATGTTCAATAAATTAGATCACGTTAATTACTACGACATTAGAAATATGTTTTTGTTGTAACATAATGTATTAGAATTTTGATTTCCCTTCTCATTAATTCTCAAAAAAACATCTAACCTCCATGACTTTTCCCAAAAAACAATGCAGGTTTACCTAGTATTTTGATATTGAATTAAATAAAATTACTATCAAAAACTTTCATAAAACTAATCTACCATCATTGAACTACTAAAGTATGTATAAATTTTTAATTAGTCTATTAATAATTATTTTATAAGACTCAAAACATCACCCGTAAAATGCAATATATCCTAGTGCAAATCTACCTACGCACCGATCAGTACATCTTGCAGTTAAATGCATAAAAAAATATAACTGAAATAATTATCCCAACCTAACTATGCAGCCACGCAGGTCGGATGGGGCTGTGGCCCAGCGATGCTCCCCACAACGGGCTAGAAGTTTACAGAATCATACCAGAGTCCAATTTTTTTTAAACATTACAATTGACTTCCGTTAACGAGAACGGTGAAGCGACGAAATGAATTAGCGTAAAAGGAAGACCATTTCTCCCTGTTCGCGCGCGAAGTACATACGCCTGCGTTATTTCGATCTATAAGGCTAAGGCTGGTTTGCATTATCTTAATGTTATGTCTGTGGTCATAGCCCCTTCTCCCTATTCCATTCACAGAGAAGGCCTGTGCGCAAGTGCGGCCCTGCATAGAAAACTCGCACCTCGGGAGTAGCCTCGCTAAGTATTTACTCGATGCTTTGGATAGGTTATATAGACCCCTCTTTTCCAGTGGGCACTTTGGGCAAGTGCCCAGGGCCCCGCGATCGATAGGATAGCCCCCCAAATACAAAGTCCCTAGTTCCTGTTAAATCACCAAACGGGGGTCATAGGGGCCCCATTATCCCAATATGCCCAGGGCCAATAGCTCAAAGACGGCACTGAGGTTATAGCAGCGCGCGACTCGCATCATAGGAGGATCATCGATGTGGACGTGATTTAACACTACGAGTCCCTTCAATTACTTACGCCGAGATGTGGCGTCATTAAGCGCGTTTTTTCGTCTATACCATGGTGGTTACAGAGAAAGAGAAGGATCGCTACGTGCTAAAGCATTAGCCCGCCTGTCCCTGAAAATTTGTAGAATTCGTAGTTCATTTTTCAGCTACCAGCCGCGCTGCCGTCGGTAAGTAGTATCTGTGAAGTTAGCTATTTAAGAGTACATGTAGATGAAGTTAGTTGATTAGTGTACAAATTTTCTTCGCGGCATTGCTCATTTCAAATTAGCGCACAACAGCCCGCTTTTATTGAGACAACTTAGCGATCGCAGCGCCTCACTTATTTTGTCCATATTTCTTTAAGACTATTTTCTACAGTGATCTTTCTCCTTCTCTCTAACCTCCATTGTCTATACCACGGCAGTGTTCTGAATTATTCGCTCTTAGTGCTATCCCTTAGGACTTACTATTATTCCAAGACGAACATAGAGATTTGGGGACTCGTTTCTTTTGCGCTTTACCGCAAAAGGAATGCTTTGATTGGTCCCTCCCATCTACAACCCGGGATTCTTCAAAGGAGGTGTATCCAGGGTTTTATAGGTGTCGAGTTGTCAACGACAACGTAATTATTTCATGATCTGGTACCCGGGCGACTTACAATTTGCACACATCTAAATTTGATTTGGAAAAACTACTACACCATAACATCAGATCATCTAGATGAGGATCACTTAAGATCAGATGAGGTGGAGTTATTTCTAAATAAATAATGGTGTCAATTCTGGCATGATTACCTACACTTAAAGACAACAGTCTGTCCTTGTTATTCTCTATACAGAATGAAAAGGAGAGATTGATGTTAAATTTAGTTTCTTAAAACTTATTAAGAGTATCATGCCAGATTCTACACCAATATATGGGTTAGTAAGTAATCCAGTACTCACAGAAAACAAAAATTATATTAAAACACCGTCTCATTTTAAATATACGTGCTGTGTACTGAACAGCATAGTGCTTATTTGATTTACACGATTAAGTTTCTTTCTGCAAATAATGTATTTAAGGGCCAGATTCAGCAGTGATAGAAATAATTTTAATGTTTTAATTCTCTTGACACAAATATCCACATTGACCTACAATTATGGAATCTAGTATTCCTGTGCCCCCCGGTGTTACCCGCGGTTTATAATTTGCTGCAGTAAAACGTGGCCTATGTGTTATTCCAGGTGACACCCTGGATTGAAAATAACAGTTTTAATATTTTATTTCTTAAACTAGCGGTCCGCCCTCGCTTCGCTTCGGTGTAGAGCTGAAGTGTAGTAAACTACAGTTTAGATAAAAACGGTCATTTTTATTACCTGTATTTATAATCAAACTAAAATTCTCATGTTTCCGTTTTCCAGTACTCATTTTCTACACGTTTTACATGATTTATTTGATAATTTTGTTTACAAATGTTTGGTTTATATTCTAAGATAAGCACGGTTTCTTAATATCAATTATTGTCTGTCAATAAGGTCGAACGCTCTGAACGCATCAACAGCCAAATATTGAATGAAGCTCGCTTTTTTTTTTGTTTCCTCCAAGGCGGGCGGGTGTGAAATCCTCATGGATACCCTACAGCCGGCTGTAGGGTTATGTCAGACTCTTACTGACTAAAACACACCCGTGGGGGATGCCTATGGCCTTAGGAGCCATACAGGCTTTATGTGATGCGATCAACCCCTGAGTAGGGGATGATGCAGCGCTGAATTAGTAAATACTACTGCATAGTGCGCTTAGAGGACGGATGCACTCTGATGTGCATCCGTATCGGTTTAGGACAAAGCGACTGAAGGTCTCTCAGGATCGGGGGGGCGGGGAAGCTCGCTTTCGGACCTCCCGCCTTTTTATACCCTACCGCCGCCGCGACCCGTGTCGAGCGCGGCAACCGTTACACAAAAATAATCCTTATAGCATGATTCAGTATTCACGTGCGACGGCGCGATGACTTATTTCATGTATCAGTTTGGTGTTTCTATACCGATTTCTATGATTCTCTTTTTATTGAATAGGTAATAATGTTAACTTTTTTAAATTAGGGATGAGTGAGAGTATTATAAACGTAAGAGTAAAGAAATATAATCAGAATGCTCCGAACTGCTTAGCTATCAGGAGTTACACGTGTTATTGTGAGTCAACCATAAAAGATAGACATATGCTGTTGCGGAATATTTTTTAGACAGTTTTATGTAAAATATTTCCGTCATACATAATTTCTATGTAACTTTAACCATAAAGGCTGCACACGCGACGGAAGCTTAAAAAATGGAGTAACTTCTCCCGTTTTCCCAACATTTCCCTTCACTACTCTGCTCCTATTGATTGTAGCGTGATGAAAACTATACTATAACCTGCCCAGGAGTATGAAGAATAATTGTACCAAGTTTCGTTAAATCCGTCGAGTAGTTTTTGTTTCTATAAGGAACATACACACAGACAGACAGACAGACAAAAATTTTACTGATTGCATTTTTGGCATCAGTATCGATCACTAATCACCCCCTGATAATTATTTTTAAAAATATTTCATGTACAGAATTGACCTCTCTACAGATTTATTATAAGTATAGATAAGAAAAAAGAAGCTATAAAATGTATTGAATTCTGTAAGAAGTAATAATTGTAAAAATAAGTCTTATAAGTAAATTGCTATATATTTCTGAAATCTCGAAAAAATTACTACATAGCAAAATATTCTAAATGTCTGAATTTCATTATTTCATACATAGATTTAATATATTGTTTTGATACTGCAGTAATATGTGAAAAACAAGGGTCGATAAATTATGTTTCTAACCACAATTCACCATGAAATTACTATTTGTTCAGCAGTAATAATAAATTGCATTTTCTATGAATGACTTTACTATCACACTATTATAAAAATATTTTGTATGCAATGTGGTTTTTGAATGAGTTTCTTTCAGTCTTGAATAAGCACAATCTTAAGAAGCTGAAACATTAATTTATATTTATAAGTTCTGATACTGTTTTTTTAAATAATTTTCTATAATTACTTCAACTAAAAACCATTCTTTATACCATACTAATACAGTGGAAACAGGATATAACGACATTGAAGGGACCATATAACTTTGGACGTTATGTCCGGTAGTCGTTATAAGCAATATACAAAAGTAATCATATTATTGTCATGTGTATGTAGTATGGTTATAGATAATGAATATATGCCTGTTTTCATATAAAATATCAAAAAAAGAAGTAATAAGTTTACTATGAAAAAATGGAAGTACCTACAGTATATTTTGTTTTGGTGGAAGAAGTTAAATGGTTATTTGTTATAGCCGATGACGATCGATATGAACTTTCATCAATATTCATTCAGAGAACACAAATTAAATCCCAGTAGGTCCTCTCACGCAAAATAGGCACCTGGTGTTGAGTTGTGGAAAACACCCACCATTCAGAAGAAGTAGAATCCCAGTAGGTATTCATTCATGGATAAGGAGCTCGATTGTGCAAGTAGTCAGGCATCAGATGGGTGAACAAAAATTTTCTGTCTCAAGTTCCTCCTTGTTTTGGAAGGCAGGCACATATCACTTGATGAGACCACCTAAATTAGGTATCCTTCAGTTAATATAAAGAAGCAAATAAAACAACGTCATATACTTAAACGTAGGTACTTACGAAAACTTTAATTTATTTATACACCAAAGAGATCTAGCATTAATTCATTTTTTATTTTTGTACGGCGGATTTCTTCCGACATTCCCGCCTCCTCGAGCTAGAGGTGCGGGTCTGCCGCGGTTTCCGAACGCGCCTCTACCACCGCCCCGGCCCGTCCTCATATTCTGGCCACCACCGCGACCTTTGTTGACTTCACTACGTCCCCTGGCTTTAATCTGAGTCTCTTCCTTTACCATATCAATGACTTCGTCGGGTATCCTCAAGTATTTGATAGTGCTGCCGCGTATGTAACACTCGGGCATTCTCCAGAACTTGTCACCGTCTCGGGATGTGCAGATCACTTCTCTTAAGTTGATGTTCATCCAGTTATCGCAGCTCACTAGATGACCGTTGTATGTTTCCCCGTTTTTTAGCTCCACCAACATCGGGTGGTTTTGTGCAGTCCGCAAAAGCGATAAAGGCAACATGTTTTATCAACGTTACTGCGAATAATATGTCGAATTCGAGCTTCTGATCTGAGTGTTTGTTCTTCTTCTTCTTATTTTGCGTGATTGTTTAGAAACAAAATAATCAGATTTGGCGACTTTAAATATTTGAGGTTATGTTTTTAGGTTCTTTTCGATGCCCTCTCTTCGCTACATACAACATGGACATACTATATGGTACGTCCATGGTAAACATTTTTGAATTTTATGGCGCAATTACATTTCATCGATAGCCCGTATTCGGATGCTCGAAAGATATTACTTGAATTCGGGCACCCAAAGCATGTTTACATGAAAAAAGGCTGGGAGATGGTGTCGGGTAAACAATAGAAAATCTACCCGAATACGGTTGGGGAAGGATAGAAGGGATTAATAACGGACTTATTACAAAGTGTCTGATTATATTACAGACAAAAATGCTTGTGTTTGAACTGTTCCAACAGATTTTCTATATTAATTAAATCATGATGGTATTGACGTTGTAACAACATAATGATTTGTAAATGTTGTTACATTATACTTGATGTGGAGTTTTTTTCGCTCGTTTTTCTCCTCAGCTAAAAAATAATATATGTCCAATAACGAGTGGTAGGGAAAAAATGTTTGGGCGATTCAAAAGTGTTGTACTATACATCCAATTTGAATAAAGATATATTGATTTCTGATTTCTGAGTGACTTCATTAAGAAATCATGCTTAATATTACCAAATATAGGTACACACATCAAAAGTGTCTAGGGATCAAGCATTTTTATGCGGATTTCTTGAGATTGAGATGTGGCTTTGTAATAAATTTATGATTTTATAAATTTATATGGATCCTTTTTGGTGCATTTCATAATTTGAATCAGGAACTGTGAATCAAATTCGAGTAAAAGATGAAAATCAGCTGTCAATATTTTCCCTATAAAAACATACAACGCATTGAAGACATTATTAGTGCTACTGTTTCCCTACTACTGATTAAAACCAACGTTATTAAGGAGCGGCGACGTCATTTAAGCAGGGAAGAAATGCTCAGAGCCGTGGGAATGATAGAAGCTGGTTCCCGGCAACGTACTGTGGCTTTAGCTCTGAATACAAGTCAGAGTGTTATCAGTCGACTTTGGACACGATACCGAAGCACTGGTACCGTGGCTGAGCGCCATGGAGGACGGTATCGCTGCACCACACGGAGACAAGACCGATACATTCAAATCTTAACTCGAAGAGCTCCAACAATAACCGCCATGATGTTAGCCGTGAGGCTTCATCACTCTTCAGGGAACTTAATTAGCGACCAAACAGTCAGAAACCGCTTGCATGAAGTGAACCTTCATTCCCGAAGACCGCTACGGGTACCACCTATAGCAATGCACAATCGTAGGATTCGATATCAATGGGCTCTTGAACACAGAAATTGGGCAGAAGAACAATGGCGTTTCGTGTGCTTTTCTGATGAGTCTCGTTTTGGTATGAGACCGGATACAAGACGTATACGACACTGGAGAACCCCTGGACGCCAACAGCGATTAAAATCCTGCCAGGAAGTCCATCCTTATAGTGGTGGAACCATCATGGTATGGGCGGGTATTTGGATCGGCGGAAGAACTGAGTTGATTTGGATCAGAGGCAACCTCAACGCTCAAATTTATGCTGAGACGATTGTATCAGACGTCATCGTTCCTCTACAAGTGCAAATCGGTCCCTTATTTCAGTTAATGCATGATAATGCACGACCGCACACCGCAAGAGTTGTAAGACAGACTCTCGCCGCAGCTAACATCAATGTCCTGCCCTGGCCTGCTCAGTCGCCAGACTTGAACCCGATTGAGCATGCATGGGATATGCTACAGAGAAGAGCTCTGCCGAATATGGAGGGTATCCAGTCGCAAGAAGACCTTTTTTTGTTGTTGCAACGAACATGGGCGGCCATTCCACAGCGTGATTTGGATGAACTCATTTTGAGTATGCCAAACCGATGTTCTTGTGTTGTTAGTGTTCGCGGTAGAAATACGGATTATTAATTGTTTAAGTTACCCAATAAAATTTTAGAGAAAACTGTTATTTCAGTCTTTTTTTCGAACTTTTGTGTTAGTGGTTCAAATGTCAAAAATCCCTTTATTAGGAAAATGGCAAATTTCTTTATTAATGCAAAGGTGACTTGGTTTATCGTTACTGTGACAAACGAAAACACTTTATTTGATGAATCCTTAAAGAAAATTTTAATTAATATCAATCAGGAGAAAAGTTATTGCAAAAATATATGTTGATCCCTAGACACTTTTGATGTGTGTATACATTCTACGATAAATTTCTCAAATTATGAGGTTTGGAATGGAAAATAATTGATAATTTGACATCGAAACAACCTAATGTAAGAATGCGTCTGGGAATGTTCCTTTCAAATATTTTTGTAGAATTTTGATCGTTAAAGGAACATTCTTGTCTATAAGATGACAGGCTATAATAAATAGTATCCCTTTGTAATAAAGTTTACTTCGCAATTGCTTTGGTGAAATTTGACATAATACATATGTCGGGCTGTCACTGTGAGACAGACTGTCGGTCATTTTCATTTTCTCCCATTGCGTGTTGAAAATTAATCTCCAAAATTACTTAGATTTCCATTTAGAACGGGCGATCACGTATTTATTCCATTTGCCAAGTTGTATTTGGGTAAGTTTTGAAAGTGTTATGTGAAAATCTACTCTTACATCAGGTTTAAATATGCGTTTATGTACTTGAACATTGTGTCTCATGTTTTAAACCGGTATCCCTTTGAACTCTGATAATTGTAATATTTACTGAAACAACATATCATCACTTTCATTGAGAAAAGCATCCAGCCAATTGCTTTTAATAAATAGTACTAACTTTTCAGATATTATAATGAATTAGCAATTTGTTGTATTATTAGTTTAAAAAGCCTTTTCCATAGTTTCAGTGAGCTGTCACAATGCCGCAAGACAGACGCAAAGTGCCTTTCAGTGGAAAGGCCAAGAAGCAGCAGATAAAAGCAAAGAAAAATAAAACTTTAATATTGTCGAGTAAGTGCTTCTCCTCGTTTTTTGACCTGATAACGTTTTATAAATCGATGAGCAGCGGCTGCATGCACGATAAAGTGTTACGTTCCGCCTGAGCCTGAGCGTGCAAGCGAGAGCACGGAACAAGCGATAGAGAGGCACGATCAGCTCAAGAGTCGGCTTCTACACGAGAGAGATAAATTCTCTCTTTTCTCGCATTGCGCCAGATCTAGCAATCATGTAATTTTTCATCAATGTGTCTTTATGACATTATCACGTAAACTACCGACCGTGAACCTATTTTACAGACAACCAATATATTGTGTTTTTGTTATATTAATCATTATTTTAATATAAATCATGCAACAAGTCACACAGTAGGGCAAAACAAGTTTTGAGTAACGTAAAATATATAACTTAACTTTTGGTATGTGGTCATTCTAACTGATTCTGCATATCTTAGAAAATCAATCAGTCCGTAGCTAAAAATTATTACATCAGAAATATGAAAATAATGAAAACTGTAGTTAAATTTAACTGAAGTTAAATATTAATCACAGAATTTTATTTAAATATTTACATTTGTCATCAACTCTGCTGGCATACAACATCTTCTATTCTGTTTTCCTTACCTATACTGTGAATGTTGTCTGGAAGAGATCGCTTTTAGTGATAAGACCGCATTTATTGTTACATGTATCTGTTGTACCTATGTCCTTTCCTATGTGAGCAATAAAGTGATAAATTATTATTTTAATTTTATTGTTTGTTTTAGCATCTTCCGGTTCCAGCACTTATGATGTAGTGTCCGTGAACTATCAGCCTGGCAGAAACCGTGGTGGGGGTGGTCGAACTGATACCAACCGGTACGCTCTGAAGTTCTACCGAGAGACTAATGAGGAATTGCAGATGAAGAAGGAGGATGCAATGTGAGTAGAAACAGTGTATTTAAAACAATGATCCAGAAATGGTGAAAATGACATGAAGTAGGTAGATGATGCAGATCAAATTGAAGTTAAATAACATTTTCTATTAATTTATGTCCAGTTTTGATGTTAATAAGTTCTAAAGTTTCAACACTAAACTCTACAGGCATACTTAGAAACATCAAATTCATTAAATATACTTCATTAAGTCACGTGTTGTCTCATTCTGTTGTTATCAGTGATAATATTCTATTAATGATTTTGATTTGACAAAATACACAATCAGTACTTACTTTATCAATAATTTTAGTTAAGAGCCCTTTTACAAAATTGCGCCGCTGCCGTACTGATCGGCGCGTAGGTAGATTTGCACTAGTACTTATATGTTTCATTTTACATGTGATGTTTGGAGTGTTATAAAAAAATTATTAATGAACTAATTATAAAAATATATAGGTACATATTTCAGTAGTTCAATGATGGTAGATTAGTTTTATGAAAGTTTTTGTTAGTAATTCTATTTAATTCAATATAAAAATACGAGTTAAACCTGAATTATTTTTTGGGAAAACTCACGGAGGTTAGATGTTTTTTTGGTAATTGATGAGATGGAAAATCAAAATTCTAATACATTATGTTACAACAAAAACATATTTCTGAAGTCGTAGTAATTAATTTGATCTAATTTATTGAACATTATTGAGAGAGTGAGGCATTTGAAGTTGTGCATATATTCGTTTGTAACTAGCAGAACGATCAGTACAAAAAAAGGAAAATAGTATTTCCAAATATTCTACATTAACTTACAAAAGGGAGAATAAATCTATTGTTTACTTCTATTGGAAATAGTCAAAATCTTTTCTAAGGGGGTAAACAAGGCGCTCAAAAATTACGAATTATTGCAAAAAATGTAAAAGGGCTCTTAAATTAAAAAAGCAGACCCGAAATAAGTTGAAATTAAAACCCATACGGATAGGAGTTCTAAATATTTAAAAGTATTTTGATAATATTTCAAAAGTATTAGAATTATAAATGTGACATCACAAAACTTACTAATGCTCCCATCCCTTGTCACACAATGTGACAAATGACGACCTCCGTGCCCGAGTGGTTTGTACGCCGAGTTTCATGGTGTCGCCGACTCGAGAGATCCCGGATTCGAATCCCGGTGGGGGCAGATGTTTGTGTGATGAATACGAGCATTTGTGCTCCAGTCATGGATGTTTAATATGTATTTCTATATAAATATAGTTATATATGTACATTATATGTATTCTATCCGTTACCTTAGCATCCGTAACACAAGCCTTACAGTGCTTACTTTGAGCTAGGCTAATTGGTGTGAGTGTTGGAAATATCTATATAAAAACTAAATGTCATACTTCGTCCATCCCCTCCCTCACCCTTAACGTGTGACGTACGATATGGATGACCCTTTCTTTACCCACTGTTTATTTTAGGAAATCCTTGAACCCAGTCCCAGAGAAGGATCTAGAGGTGAACCCGTCAGATTTCTTCCCAGCCGACATGTCTTTCCCAAAGAGACCGCCCTGGGACTTTAAAATAACACCGGCACAATTAGACGCACAAGAACAGAGATATTTTAAGGTGAATATTAATAATATATTGAGTTACTAGCTGACCCAGGGAACTTCGTACCGCCATAAAAATAGGGGCAGGTGGTAGAAGAGAGAATTTAGGGTTGTATGTATTTTTTAATACCACATTATAAAAAAATAAATATTGTAAAAAAATTTTAGGGGTGTGTAACGTAGTGTTCTATCAATTTCCTAGGATAACATTCCTGCCAACCATCACCAAACCAAAAATCAAATGAAAACACTACGTTACAATACCCAATAGTTAGAATTTCGGCGCGAAGGCGCATTGTAGGTTTCAGAACACTACGTTACAGGTGGACAACTATTATCACTTAACTATGAAAAATAGATAGTAGCGAATTCTCAGATCTACGGAATATGCATATAAAATTTCATAAAAATCGGTCAGGTCGTTTCGGAGGAGTATGGTAACTAACATTGTGACACGAGAATTTTATATATAAGATTTGCTAGTATAAAAAATAAATTACTGTATAATTGGAGTTGGAGTTGGTATAACATGAATGTTAGCAGTGATTTTACTATTTAGTATTCTCTATTTTACAAACTACCATTTTTTTACACAAATTGTGTAATCTTATTGCCCCTAATGAAATAATATATTGAACTGTCACACCACACACTATACAGGGTATTACAAAAATACAAATAAAGCTTGAAGGGCATTGAAGTACATCATATAAGGAGTCTTCTCTAATTTTCTTAAAATATTCGCATAAAGTTTTAACTTTTTATAAAAACAGTTATTTTTAATGATTAATAAAAATATCGATCATTTTAAGACACATCACTAGTTCGAATAGCATTAAAAATAACTGTTTTTATAAATAAGTTAAAACTTTATACAAAAATTTTAAGAAAATTAGAGAAGACTCCTTATATGATGTACTTCAACGCCCTTCAAACTTTTTTTGTATTTTTGTATAAATCAATAGGGTCCGTTTTTAATTCAAAATAAAAGAATTGTAATTGTTAAATTGTAAATAAGTGCATTAGTATTTCTCATTACAGTACCCTTAGCACTAACCAATAACGAATTCGAATAGTCTGCGAGTACGAAATGTCATTGTCAAATAAGTACTGATTTTTAGTTCTCGTTACTTTGTGGCGCTGCTGTTCAAGTTTTTTATATAAAATTTGACATTGACATTTCGCACTCGCAAACTGTTCGAATTCGATAATGGTTCGCGCTAGCGGTACAGATCACTAAACGTAAGTATAAATCTTTGAATTTTTTTGTAATCCAAAAACCCTTGGATACCCCACTCGAAAGTTTTTACGCAGTGTCATTGTTAAAATTAAGATATCAACATCACCAAAAACTAACCCACCTTTTAAGCAATAGGGTATTTGACAGTTTTTGATTTAACAATTTTTAATGCAATACACAACAGAATGATGAATATCCACTTTTTATGGACTCCATAAACATTAATAAATTACGTGAAATAGTTTTAAATATATACTCGTAAATATATTTTTTTCATGAAACAACGTGAAACCTATACATATAAATAAAATTCGAGTTTCTGTTTGTAATGTTGAAATAATCGCTTTTAACTACATGCATATGAATATGTATATGGTGCATACACCCAAAATAACATTTTTTACAATTTTTGTCTGTCTGTTTGTTCCGGTTAATTACTGAAAGGGCTGGACCGATTTTTATGGGATTTTTATTGGCAGTTAGCTGATATAATAAGGAGTAACTTATGCTACTTTTATTTAGAAAAATTCTTATATTTTAGAAAATAAACTAAAATTTAATGCGGACGAAGTCGCGGGCGGCAGCTAGTCTTTTTATAAAACTTGCCAAATACCCTATTAGGTTAAATCTCTTTGCTGTCATCCTTTTTACTTACAAAAATAAGTTGTTCTCAATATTATCCTTTACAGAACTACGTGGACCAACTGCAAAGCTCAGAACATTGGAAGGATGTGTCATATTTTGAGCTGAATCTAGAAACTTGGCGACAGCTATGGCGCGTTCTAGAAATGTGCGACATTTTACTGCTTATTGTGGACGTCAGATATGCGGTGAGTATTTAATAATCTAATAGATCTCTAGTCTATGACAAGAAACCATTACGATTTATACTTAGATTAAAACAAAAAAGGGAAGATATGGCACTCGCGGCTCAAAAGTGATCCGCTTAAATTGTGGTGCATGACCACAATTCGCTTTAGTCACAATTGGACATTCAAACACGCTGCATGTACACTCAAAATAACAATATTGCGTATATTCTGTGTTATAAAGATAAAACAATGCCTTCGATGCTTTTATAAAGAACACAAATAGTTCAAAATCAAATAACAAATGCCTCGGCGACATTTCTCATTCGTAAAACTGTAAAATATTTTTTTTTAAATCACGATTTGACACAATGTGTGTTTACGTAATCGCCATTTTGTTATCAAGAAAAGGACAACAATACAGCTCAGCCGTTCGCACTCGGAAGCTGACTCGCCGTTTCGCTCTCTCTGCGTTGAAGTGTACAGTTCTGTCTCGCTCGCTCGTTGAATGTTATTTACAGACATGTGCGTGTGTGAGAGTTGCTTATGTAGTTGAGTCGGATCATATTTTATTTGATGCTAGTATGAGCGTATCGTATCTTACCTTTTTATTTTAATCTAAGGATTTATACGATTTCATTTTTATTACTTTTTATATAAAAAGAGGGGCAAACGAGCGTTGGTGATTGGACATTACCATATAGACCAGCCCCAATGTTCACAAAACGCGATATATGATTACCACAATCGAGGCTCAATTTTCACGAAAATTTCGCAAAATCGACATTCTTATTCTGAATGTAGGTAGTGTCGAAGATTGCTAATATGCCTTGAGGAGCTCGATGGCGCGGGTGGTTAGTGCGTTCGGTTGCGATCGTTGAAGTTGAGCAACTTTCGCAGTGGTCGGTCATTGGATGGGTGACCAAAAATCTTCTATCTCGACTTCCTCCGTGCTTCGGAAGGCACGCCGTTGGTCCTGGCTGCATCTGCAGTCGTTAGCACCCGCCAATCCGCACTGGGCCCTCGTGGTGGTATTCGCTTTGGTACACAGCCTTTTAGCCAACCCGTTCAGTTATTTTGTATGTATTTTTAAGGGTTTGTAATTTAATACTTTATTTTATTCAAGCCACTATCGATCATTTTTATTTTATGAAGTCGTTAGTACAATAGGGTATTTGACAGTATTAAAAATAAAATGCCAATTGTTAGCATCTGTGTTTAGATTTGGTAGGGGATTTTACTATTTTTACAAAAAAAAAACATATATTTACTAAAAACTCACGAAAAAGATAATAGTTTTCTTATCTATTGTCACGTGACCCAAAACGCTTGGAATTGGCGGAGCCTAAAATGACGTCACACGCAAGTAAACTTCCGGTTAAAGTGACATTACATTGTATCGTTTGACGTTTTAATAATAGTCGTGTGACGTCACACACTAGTAAGACGCCATATTGTCCAGAGAATCGTTTTCGCGGCAACTTGAAAATCTAGTTTTTGATTTGGTTATTTCTCCTGAAATACACATCAGAATGATGAATATCCACTTTTTACGGACTCCATAAACATTAGTCAATAACGTGAGATCGTTTGCTTAAACTTGTCAAATACCCTATTTATAAAAAAATATACATTTTATTATTGTTTTTTTTTCTTTTAGCCAATGATGTTCCCACCGTCTCTATACAATTACGTAGTCAAGGAACAGAACAAAAGCATGATACTTGTTCTCAACAAGATAGATTTAGTGCCAGCGTCCGTGGTAGCAGCTTGGCACGAATACTTTACAAACACTTGTCCCGGCTTGAGAGTGGTTTATTTTACTTCATGTCCGGGATACAATCTGAGAGGTGGTACGGAGGATAAGGCTGGTAAGTGTAGGTTTTATAGAATAATTTAAAAATAGAAGAAATAAAATAAATTAGAATATTTAATAAATACATATTAACACTAGCAGCCAGCGAACTTCGTACCGCCATAAAAAATAGGGGTTGATTGTAAAGGGTTGAAACTTCAGGGTTATGTGTATTTACTAATGCTGTATCTTAAAAAAATAAAACAAAAAAATTAGGGGTGGATTACCCTTAACATTTAGGGGGATGAAAAATAGATGTTGTCCGATTCTCAGACCTACCCAATATGCACACAAAATTTCATGAGAATCGGGAAAGCCGTTTCGGAGGAGTTTAACCACAAACACCGCGACACGAGAATTTTATTAACTTAATGTAATTTTTGACAATGCAATGATTCAATCAATGAAAATGCGGTCCGAATGGTCGCGCGGTCCGTCCATCTAAGATACGTGCGTGTGTTATAAAATTGTTTTTTATTTTATTTTATTTTATTTATTAAGGGATAAAAAACGGTTACAATATGTGTTTTATGACTAAAGACTATTATATATGGTACCATGGTACCATAAAATCTAAGGTAATATTGTGACCCACAATATTATCCACAAATTATTAAATAAAAATAGTGCCTTGCTGATGTTACATTCAGTGAGAGTAAACTTAACACTGTTATAATCCTTATGCTTAACTATAATTTTAACAAACAAAAAGTACCTAATTAAACATTTTTCATAAACAAATTGGTAATATTTTTATATATATTTTATCACTACATCAAAAATAAGAAATAACTACACTAAGCGAGTTTAATACATATAAATAAATATAGATGCTATGTCTCTTTATGCAATATTTTAATAACATCATACCTAAATTTATATTTAGTTTTTGAAAATATATCCATTTCTGCAAACAAAGTATTGTAAGTTTCAGCCATTCTATGTAGACCGCAACGTAGCCCTGTATTTGTTCGACAAATTTTAGTGGCAAATAAATTAATATTTTTGAGCTTGCGGATGTTAGTTCGAGGCACTTTGTAACTTATTTTATTTGTAATATCACTACAATCAAATTCGTTATTAACAATGCCATGCAATACTGTAACTTCTAGATATTTGCGTCTATCCTCTAGAGTCATCATATTATATTTGCTTAGCAACTGGGGATATGACAAATAACGCCGAAAACACCTGTAATGCATAGCACGTAGATATTTACGTTGAACTCTCTCGATCTCCTCCTTGTATTTGTTGTAAAAGGGGTTCCAAATAGTTACAGCGTATTCAAGTTGTGAACGTATCAACGCTTTGTATAAGCTCAGATAGGTTGATACACGTTTAAATTCATTCAATTGTTATAAACGACTATAGGAAAATTATTGCTTAGAGCTCCGCTCGGTTCGCTCCATCCAGAATCACCCGATTTTTTATTTTTGAGTGTGTATGCTGTTGGTCGCAGATGACCTTTACAGCGTCACCGGGTTTGGGGACGGCGATCAATAGGGGCCTCCCTCAGATGAAATACAAAGTCCCTAGTTCGTAGGGGCCCCATTATCCTAATATGCCCAGGGCCTCCAATAGGTCAAAGACGGCATTGCGTGCGCTGCTCCATTCCCCTATGCCTTTAAACCGGCTAATGTTAGGTTATTTAAAAAGAGAAGTTTCACTTCAGATGTGTGGTCTGTGCACATTTTTTTTATAGTTATAGATCCTATAGATCTGACGACCTCCGTGGCCGAGTGGTTTATATGTCGGGTTTCATGGTCTCGCCGACTCGAGAGGTCCCGGGTTCGAATCCCGCTGGGGGCGGATGTTTGTGTGATGAATACGAGCATTTGTGCTCCAGTTATGGACGTTTCATATGTATTTCTATATAAATATAGTTAAATATGTACTGTATATGTATTCTATGCGTTACCCTAGTATCCCATAACACAAGCCTTACAGTGCTTACTTTGGGGCTAGGCTAATTGGTGTGTGTTGGAAATATATATATATGCTTTGTCTGGTCAGGCCTCCAAGTCCGACGTCGTAAAGGTCGCCAGCAGATGTGTGTCGAAGGCGCCACTAAGATACTGGAGGCCTGCAAGGACATCGTCAATGGAGAAGTAGATCTGAACACATGGGAGAAGAAGATAAGAGAGGAGGCGGAGATTGAGTTCGATGAGGAGGAGCAGACTGAAGTTGGTGAGTTTTGGAAATGGTGTTATAGAGTACTGACCGAGATAATTTTAGGAATGTTAATAATAACCCGACAACTGTGTAAGCAAAATGCCTCTCAAAGCCTCGTCTGTGTTAGCTTTCCATTTTGTTTTTCACGGCCGGTTTTTTTTCCAGCCAATTTTCCTCTTTTTATTTAAGAGCCCTTTCACGTTTTTTGCAAAAAATCGTAATTTCGGAGCGCCTCTTTTACCCCCTTAGATAAGATTTTGACTATTTCCAATAGAAGTAAACAGTAGATTTATTCTTCCTATTGTAAGTTAATGTAGAATATTTGCAAATACTTTTTCCTTTTTTTTGTACTGATCGTTCTACTGCAGCTAGTTTACGGAAAAAACGATAATATGCACAACTTCAAACGCCTAATTCTCTAAATAATGTTCAATAAATTAGATCAAATTAATTAGTATGACATCAGAAATATGTTTTTGTTGTAACATAATGTATTAGAATTTTAATTTTGCATCTCATTAATTATCAAAAAAAAAAAACATCTAACGTCTGAAATCAATCCTGCATAGTTTCTCTACAAACTTATCTACACGTGTAAATTAAAATGCATTTCTAAATATATATAACCATATGAATATATCTTTACCTCTATACCAAAATCTACAGCTTACCTGACTCATTCATTGACTCAATATTATGAGTGTATTTTACAGGTCAAACTATATTGGAGAAAGCTGACACAACTTTTTACAGCCATGAAAGATACAAAAATGGCGTATTAACAATAGGTTGTGTGGGCCAGCCCAACGTTGGGAAATCTTCTTTAATGAATGCTATTATGGGAAGAAAAGTAGTTTCTGTATCCAAAACGCCAGGGCATACGAAACATTTCCAAACTATATATCTAACGCCGCAGGTGAGTTTTAATATACATTATTATTATTTACACACGCCTTTCGTTTTTTTCATTTTTCCCAAAGGTTGACTGGGAGAGAATGTTTTTAGCATTTAGTCCGCCTTTTGTACCATTATTATATATTTTGGTCAATAAAGTTTAAAAATAAAATAATTTTTTTATAGTGGCATTTTAAGTTGCTAGTTTTGTTTGCAATTAGTGTTGGGGGACTATCGATAGTTCGACTTATCGAAAAATATAAATAATATAGTAAATCGTTGATATTGGGAAATTGTCACAATATTGTATCTAAAAAAAAAACTATAGTATTGAATGACATCGATACTATTTACATTCTTCTTGATACTTTCTGAGATATCGATCCTATCGATAGGAGTATCGATTCTCAAACAGATTGTGGCATAGTTTTAGTTTATTGTTGAAATTTTTCTATAAATAAATCAACTTATATCAGTCTGGATACTTTTTCTCCTTTTTTGCATATCTTTTTCTTTTTTTTTAATTCTTATTTTTTGCAAGACCAACAGAGCTATTAATGAAAACAAAAACTAAAATAATAACAAAAAGCCAATTACAAGTCTTCTTCACCAATAAAAACACATTACAACATAATTTAGCACTCTTTTAACATGATAATTACAAAAAAGAGTATTGTACAATTGTGCCTATGTATATTACTAGCTGTGCCCCGCGGTGTTACCCGCGGTTTATTAAGGATATTTTCCCGCAGTAAAACGTAGCCTATGTGTTACTTCAGGGTGTCAGCTGACTCCATACCAAATTTTATTAAAATCGCTCCAGCCGTTTAGACGTGAAGAAGTAACAAACATACACCCTCATAAACTTTCGCCTTTATTATTAAAATTAGTGTGATAATTTAGTGAATATAATGTCTCTGAGTATGTTTTATTTTCTATTCAGGTACGTCTGTGCGATTGCCCCGGTCTAGTTTTCCCATCGAAAGTTCCGCGACCTATACAAATTCTTATGGGATCCTACCCCATTGCACAATTACGAGAACCATACACCACAATAAGGTAAATGTTTCTCGAAATATCATCATTAGACTTAATAATTTGGAGTGGTCCATAAAGTACGTCACATTAATTTCGTGATTTTTTTATCCCTCCCCCGCCCTTGTCACAGTTGGTCACATTTGTGAGTCCCCCCTCCCTAGTGTGACGTCACATGTTTTGCTAAGTTGCATCATTTTTTTTATAATTTTAAATAGCTCCAAAATAAAAAACTCATACAGATGGAGTTCTTAATATTTTAAATTATTTGATCATCTTAATTTTTGATAATATCGACCGATTTGTGTGAAATTTTATATGCATATTCAGTAGGTCTGAGAATTGGACAACATCTATTTTTCATCCCCCTAAATGTTAAGACTTATTATACTCTTTTGCATCATATAGTTAAAACATATAGTCAAATACATAGTAAGCAAAGGTGTGCTTATCTCTAAAGGAGATCTTTTAACTTAATATTTTTTGGGCAAAATTTTTGTTTTTTTTTTATGATACATCATACAAAAATACATACAACCCTAAATTTTCACCCTTCTACCACCAACCCCTATTTTTTTTATGGCTTTACGAAGTTCGCTGGGGCAGCTAGTAGTTTATTAGTAAGTATTAGATATTTAAAATGTGACGTCACGAAACTTACGACCCCTCCCACCCCTTGTCACACAATGTCACACTTCGTCGACCCACTCCCTCCCCTTTACTTGTGACGTAATCTATGGACGACCCCTTTTGGCAATGAGAATGAAATAGTTATTTTCAATACATATGTAAAAAAAAATGCATTTTCGAAGGTTGTATACATTGTTCGAAAGCTCAAAATTATGAGCCATCCAACGGAGCGTGCGATAAAATTTTACCGCACGCTCCGGCTAGGCTAGGCTTTTCACCCCTTTAAAAGATGATTTTAGGGATAAAATCTACCCTATGTCCTTTCCCGGGACTCAAACTATATAATTTATGTAAATATAATTGTATTTAAGGCTAATAAATTTTCTTAATTCTTTTCTTCTTTCTTTCTGTCTGTACCAAATTTATTCAATTTGTTTTTTATTAAATTTTTAGTTTATTAAATGTATAGGGTCAATTCTTTACTTACTTTGCAATTTTTCACTGTTTCTTTACACAAATAAATAAAAAAAAAAACATATCGGTTCAGTGGTGAAGCGTGAAGAGGCCACATACAGACAGACACACCTTCGCATTTACAATATTAGTATGGATTAGTGGTATATTATAGGGCTTTGTTCTTTATCAGGTACTTAGCAGAAAGGCTAGATTTGCCCAAGTTACTAAGGATAGCCCATCCAGACAACGATGACACCTGGTCACCACGAGACATATGCGATGGATGGGCCAAGAAACGTGGCTATCTTACTGCTAAGGCTGCTAGGTATGTGGACTATATCATCATCAGCCTATTAATGTCCCCACTGCTGGGGCACATGCCTTCCATATGGATGGAATAGGGAGATTGGGCCATGACCCACCACGCGACCCCAATGCGGATTGGCGGGTGCAAACGACTGCAGATGCAGCCGGGACCAACGGCTTAACGTGCGTTCCGAAGCACGGAGAAACTTAAGATAGAAGATTTTTGGTCACCCAACCAATGACCGACCACTGCGAAAGTTGCTTAACTTCAACGATCGCAGCCGAACGCGCTAACCGAGCTCCTCGATCGGTCTATAACCCCCTTATTAATAAACGAATAATAAGTTAATCCTAACTCGTTAATCGCAACTAATCCTAGTTGCTCCACATTTTCTCTCTGTTCATTCTTACTTACGTGGTGGCAGACATGTCGAAATTCCTGCACTAGATGGTAGTATGAAAAAAAATTACAAATCTGAACTACTGAAACAAAAAGACCAACTTCTTTCTTTCCACGAGGTAGCATTTTGGCTCCACTTATTTTATATATTACCTTCCGTTGAGGTGTAAACGCAAGTGTTTTCTATTCGCCGATGATTTGTCAATTCTTGTACCACCTACTAATGTTGGATCAGATCACTATAGCGAAATATTCTAATCTTAACTTGAAATTTTGAAAATATTTCTTCCTTCGTAGGTTAGACACATACAGGGCTGCCAACAGTATACTAAGGATGGCACTCGAAGGAAAAATATGCATTTGGCTCAGACCACCAGGTTTCTCAGAAAAGAAGGGTAAGTTATAAAGATTATAAAAGTGTAGAGTCATGTTAATGGCACCTTGAGAAAATAATTATACACACACACGCACGCACGCACGCACGCACGCACGCACGCACGCACGCATGCACGCACGCACACACACAGCAGTTTTTCCCTGATTAAGTAACAAACATACCTTCACATTTATAATATTATTAGGGTTAAGAGCGGTTTCGAGCTGAAAGACGTTTGAGAAATTGGTATTTGAATAAAATTATTATTGTCGCGCATTGACAAATACCTGCGATAGGGACAACAGTAGCTAACGCTGAAAATTGCGCAGAAAAGTTGCAAAATTCGGGGTTTGACTCTACGATTTCCTCTTCGAAAATTAGATATATCTAAAAGGATTTTTTACCCAAAGAATGATAATTAGTTATACTATGCTTCTATGTTTTGCTTTTATTGTAAATGCTTATTGGCTCTCCATACTAGACGTCTTTAGTGGTGATAAAAATTGATAATATTTGTGCATTATTCAGGGTATCTACTTGCTTTGAAACACAAATTATCGAAAAAGGGTAGACATAGAAGCATAGCATGAGTAAAACTATATTTGAGGCTGTCAGCGTAAAAGTGGCCTTACCCTCAATTATTTATATTCTGATTCATCTTCTACAATTAAATAAAAATGTGATAAAATTTAATTCCAAATCGCTTGTTTCACCAGGCGTCAATGGCATTGCAAAAGTTCTTTTTGCATTGATTTTTTCTCTCAACGTAAACTTTCATCAGTGGTCTAAGCCGCTTAATCAGAATATGAATATTACAGGGTTAGGCCACTTTTGCGCTGACAGCCTCATTTTATGTTTAACAAATATTTCTCTAGTGCTAAAAACTAAGGTGAAATTAGTCGCGCCCGCATCTTCGTAATACTTTTTAATATTTTATTTCACAGAAGACTACGAATCGCACAAAGAGATTAAATACGTAAAATGGGTGCAAGCTCTCACCAAAGATGACGCGCAAACTTTACTTACGTCAGACTCCGATTATGACGCTAGGAGCAGTCATTCTGACGCAGACGACAGCGCCGACGATAATGACGACGAAAATGATGACGATAGTGATAGCGATAGCGACGGTGAAACTATCACAGCTAGCAGGAATAAGTTTACGGCGCTGTTAAACGCTGAATAGTTTTGCTATTAAAATGAATGAAAAATTAATGAATGAATGAAATTTTTAAATCGTTATAATTTACTAATAAGTATTTTAGATTTGCTATAGCTAGGGATGAAATCGATCGATAAAAATATCGATATCCATACAGAAATCAAGTAATAGGGTATCTGACAAGTTTTAGAAAAGGATCTCACGTTATTGACTAATGTTTATGGAGTCCGTAAAAAGTGGATATTCTTCATTATGTTGTGTATTTCAGACAAAATAACCAAATCAAAAACACCATTTTCAAGTTACCGCGAAAACGTTTCTCTGCACAATATGGCGTCTTACTAGTGTGTGACGTCACACCACTGTTAATAAAACGGCAAACGATACAATGTAATGTCACTAACCGGAAATTTACTTGCGTGTGACGTCATTTTAGGCTCCGCCAATCCCAGGAGTTTTGGGTCACGTGACAATAGATAAGAAAACTATCATCTTTTCCGTGGGTTTTTAGTAAAATTATGTTTTTTTGTAAATATAATGAAATCCCCTGCCAATATTCATTCTAAATGCAGATGCTAACAATTGGCACTTTATTTTTAATATTGTCAAATACCCTATTATCAATATCAGATATATTTGCCATCCTAATCCGATATTATCGATATTTTGTAGTACCTATTTGTATGGCTCTGTAAGCAGTAGGAATGCAAGTTTTTTGCAATATTGATATATTAATCGACATTCATGTAGAAGTCAGATGAAAATCGATATCCGATAATGTCGGATCGCGTTGTTGTACGCGATATTTATCGATATTTCCAGTATCCTTTGCACCCGTGGCGGTACCCTTTGTTTTGTCAACAAAACTGAAAAGTTTTGCCAATTTACTTTTGAACGAAATACCGTTTACCGTTTTTTGTTTTTCTCGTGAGTTATAAATCGACAACCTACTTATATCAAGCTCCCACCGAAAAGAACTCGCAGTTAAGATTTAATGTCCGCTTCAAAACTTTAGTAAAGTGTTACACAATTGAAATTCAATCGGATTTAAATAGTAATTAATAGCAGCTAAAATAAATCAATATAAAATTTTCAGATTCATGATTGAAACATCTAGCAGGTAAATTTTAAAAATAATGGTCTGGATTCTGGCATGATTCTCTAAATTTAAAACTAAATTTAACATCAGTCTCCCTGATAACAATTAATAATATCATAGATATATAATATCCTAGAGTCAGTGCAATGTCAATAAACTTAAATATAGTATATCTGAGAATGTTATCTCAAAATCAACGTAAGAGATGTATCTGCATGATTTTGTCCTGCTTCGTGTTCATAGAGGTATAAGAATAGAGTGGGGAAGGCGGCTCTAAAAGTATCCGTCTAGTAGAAGGAGAAAGAAGATGAGAGACCGCTAGCTATCTCTCTTTCTCTTGTGACGCATGGCATCCAATGGCATCACATCGAAATACTAAGATGCTTACGGTTGCCAATGCACATGCGTGATTAGAGAGAGAAAGCTAGCCGTCTCTCATAGTCTTTCTCTTTCTATTAGAGGGACACTTCTACTTGTAATAGTCTATATCTCCCCTACTCTATTCTTATACCTCTATGTTCGTGTTTCATGAATGTCTGTGGCCCAAACAAGGACGAATAAAGTAAATAAATAAGTTCCGAAAGTAACCCCCATTTTCGGATATTCCTTAAACTTGACAAGATGGACGACTCTGTATAGAAAATGACAAGTATACACTGCTGTCAAGTTTAGGTTTAGAGAATCATGCCAGAATTGACACCATTATGTTTAATTTTACCATTCCAAATCGATTGAATCGATTTTACGATTTTTCAATATCGATGAATCCATAAATTTAAGATGTCTTTTGAGGATTCGCATTTCTAGTTATAGCAAATCTAGTTAATAGTGCCTGATTGAAAATTAAAACCAGTAAATCTTCTTGATAGTTTTGTTAGAAAAAAAAGGCCAGCGTTTTAAAATGTATTTTCAAATCTTACTGATGAAGTGTATCATTGAGACTTGAAACCGGTATATCAAGTAGATCAACTAGGACTTTTTTTTCGGATTTTAATATCATGATAAGATATAATGTATATGTTCGTCAATTAACTGTGTTATTCCAATTGTTATGTCTTAATAGCAACGTTGTCTTTTTACTAAGTACTTATCAAATGCAAACTCAACGTAACCAATAAATTTATTAAAATTCAATTAATTTAAAATAGAACATTATTACTAGTATTAGAGACGCGCCAAATACGAATTTTCAGCCGTAAATTCGGTCCCAAATATACAGACGGCTACATAGCAAGTTGCCAGAAACTATCGTTTTTTTTTAAATAGATTGTGAATCTTATGACAAATGAAATAAAGCTCTAAATCAGTTGGAGATCTTTGATAGTTTGGGTAACTTTACTCGTGACTAGGGTTACCATCCGTCCGGTTTAGTCCGGACTTTGTCCGGATCTTTGAATTGACCGGATTTTTTATATTACATTGAATATGAATAATAGGAGTACATAGATTTAAATACCATACCATTGTAAGTATGTGAGTAATGGTACTACATTTTGCGACTAAAAGTCCGATCTTTGTTTCGAAATGTCAGGACTCTTTATTTGGAAATTAAATTTTACAACGTTGAGCAAAATTTGATAAAAGAGAAAAATGAAATTCAAGGTGTCACAAAAAAAAATATCATTCATCAACCGCCTGATAGCTGCAGGTTTAAAATTAAATATGTCGGTTGAAGAATATTTACTGACGAAGTCGTTTAGCAATGTAGTGCATTGCTGAAAAATGAAAATGAATTACTGCTATAGTTATAGCTCGGTGATTGTCATTTCCATCTGTCAAAAACCGTTAGCGAATATGGATATTGGTCAGTGCGATTAACATGTGGGAGTCATATACTACTAGATTGTCTACATCACAATTCAACAGTCCCTAGAATGTCTACATCACATTCACGGGAGCCCAAGCGGGGATTATGGGATTTACTCTGGCGCGGCAGAATAACATAAGGGGGGCAAGCTTGTACCTTGTGAAGTACCCCCACCATACTTGAGCCCTTTATATAGGGATGAACGTATAGGGCAGCAAAAAAAAAACAGTCGGTCATGATTTTTGGTCGCGTCCAAATTGTCTGTGTTTTCAATAGGAGCTACAGGAGAGAGTAGTACCCTTAATATAGGGATGAACGTAAATGGAAACAAAAAAAATTCAACAGTGCCATGACTTTTGGCCGTGTCCAAATCGTCAGTTTTTGAATAGGAGCTACAGGAGGTGATAGTAACCTTTATATAGAGATGAACGTACCTATAAATAGTAGTTCATCTCCAGCAAAGAAAACAAACATCGGTCATGACTTTTGGTCGCATCCAAATCGTCAGTCTTTTCAGTAGGACCTACAGGAGGAGAGAGTGAACTCCAAAATCCCCGCTGGGGCTACAACTAATCTAAAAAGTTAAAAATATTATTAATTTATGTTTACAAAAATAATAATTACGAATCGATAAGTTTGCATTATTTTTTAGAAAAAAGCCATGTGAAGTGCCAGCATATAACAGGCAATGTACGATCGGTTCATAATTGATACAAATAAACGTATTTTCCTAGGCATTTACTAGCTTTATCTTAATTTAAATTATATTTAATGCTAAATTATACTATATTATAACTTTTTTTTGTTAACTAAGCTACTGTAGTCCTTTTGTGAAACAACGATATTGAATACCCTAGATACACCACGTGCGCTCAATATGTGTCCCAATCAAGAAGTGCTTGAACACAACTCAAGCAATTCTTGGTTCACAGTCACGCGCGGACCATTGAAGAGTCAAGATACCGCAGGCAGAGCTCCGTGAAAAATTAGCGAAAAAAATACTTATAGTACATAGTGTCGTTTTTTCGACAGGTATCTAATCAATGTTTGGAAATTTAACGCATTTGAAGCTTATTTTGTTCTAATACTTACTGTTTAACAAAAAAAAACGACGGGTTGCACTCCGGGAGTGCCGGCAGAAGTGAATACTTGAATATTAACATTGTGCATTTTTGATATTTTGGAATGGTTAGGGAATAATTATGCACAAATTTCTTTAATTATCAGTACAAAAGTACTATCATGTATGTGGTAGAATACAATATTTATTTATTGCGCTATCTTTTCTTCACAATAGAGCTGCCACCTGGACGTCCTAGATAGAGACTTATTATTATAATACGAAAAAATAAAATATTACTATGTTTCGTCCAATATATTGAAGGTCAACAACCTTTCCAATTTTATTATGTGTCATGATGCGATCAGCCTACCTGTTTAACCTGACGCGAGTTTAACATTTTTTATCCGTACAAAAAAAGTGAACAACGACGCTAAAGAAGTTATCACTTCAAAAATTCGTGATATTCAAATACATGCTCGGTTATATAGTTATCTCTTTTCCTTGCGGTCCGTACCTGCTATATTGCTAACAGCGTATTCAGAATTGCGCGTAGAGTCAAAGAAATAAAGTCTATAATCTTTTACGAGCTTGCATTTTGAACTATTGAACTCTTTGACCCATGCGTTAAAATGAAGACCTTATTCAGTATGCATTAAAGGTGACTTTCAATGTTTAAATTATGCCTTACATTGCTTTTGACTACGCGATCATCTTACGGAGCTCCGTGGGTCGTCCAATGTACCAGGTTTCGGCCACGATTTTGTTCGTGTTGTATCTAGGTATATTTAATATCATTGGTGTGAAGTGAAAGTTATCATACCTGTAGTACTTTTTAAATTATAACTTAAATAAATTTTGATTGATTAAAAAAAGCGCAACATCAGCTTCTTTCTCAGTACCAAATCTATCATCAAACAGGTAACTACAAATGGCGACTTTAGGGTGTAATCCGTAATATATACCAGTATACTGGCCAGTGCTAATGACGTCACGAATCAACGCTATACTGGTGAATTGTTCCAAAATATACAGGCCAGTGCACTGATGTTAAAATCGACGAAATATTAAAAATAGTGCGAATAAAGAAAA